CGTGGAATTTTTTTATTTTATTTTTTTTGGCCTAAGGCCACGTGTTCCAGACCCCACGCATCAATTCCGTTTTTCTGAAAAACGAGGGAGCGGCCTGTTTTCGTGTTTAACGGGAATTCAACGGGATTTTTTAGAATTCAATGGGATACAATGGGAGTTTAATTCCCCCGTTCCCCGTTAAAACGACACACAGGTGTAGGGTGCATTATTTCGTCAACAATGTCGACAAACATGATTGTTCATCTTAAGCCGTACATGCGCTTAACAAAACCGTTTCCTCCTTATGCAAAATCCGTGACGCATTATAGGAGCATACATGGTTCCATGGAGCAACTTAAGAGGTTTTTGAAGAGGATTCATGGATGACCGTCGTCCCGTACAGGAACCCGCACCTTGACGATTTAATGATGAATGAAACAATGGTAATTGGAATGTCATGGAGAATGTTTGCCCTTAGGCCAACCATTACAAGTTTGTCAATATGTTGGAGTTCGGGAGCCTCAGTACAGTGCTTGATGGTGTTTTCAAACCAAAGTTCCTCACTCGTGCGCGTAAATCATTTCGCTTCGTTAGTTGTTTGACCAGTCACCTCGACTGCGAGTACATCACTTCTTTGCCGTGAACTTGGGGAAGTTCGCAGAAATAAGAGTGGTGGATTGTGCTCGTCATTGTTCATTCTTGGAGCAGCAGCCACTCTGTTGTCAGGGATTTCGCCACAAGTTGTGTCATACTGTTGTGTGCAATTAATTCTTACCGGATGTGCTTTCACCAGAATTTTATGTATGGCTTGTTCAAATAAAAGTAAGAAACTCGTGGATGCAGTTGTGCATGTATCACAAAACGAGTTGCATATGGATATGTCAAAGTTCACAGCTGTGCCATATCGCCGTAGTCCAAATGAGCGGTCAAATATGGTGATAGTAGGTCAGATCGAAGATTATTCATTGTGCCATGAGGTGAAAAAGAAAGTGTCCGACATACGAGATTATATAGGGAATTCCTTAGCACAACCAGGAGGGCTTGTTAGGATGAAATACATGTCCGTATTTTTATAGAATGCAACTGTCGAGGAAGCGTAGATCCACGTACATAGATTATCTATGAATATCACGTATGGCTTCGGTTCACAACCTCGTCCTCTGGATAGCCCGTATATCACCAAATCCGGGCGGTTTGTCAGACCCTGTACTTAAGTTGTAAACATCAGCCAGAGTGAGCAAACAAGTGTATAACACATGTTTCATTAACAAGAATAACATACATAGAGCATACCACACGAGTAGACAAAGATAGAACCGAGCGCAGGTACCGCGTCAAATTGAAATCATGAAAAACACCGACGCGATCAGGCGAATGGACCCTACACCTTGTTTCAGTCGGTCGCCTGTCCGGCTTCGTCAGGGGTCAGGGGTCAGTCTCGTACCTAGCATGGGATGGGAAGAAAACACTAACATGAGTTTTGTATAGGTCTACGCTACCTCAATCTCAAACAAACATGTTGGACTAACACATTCCAATGAACTACTCGAGGTAACTGAAAATAGCAGACCCCAATAAACTAAAAAATCTACACATACATAAAGATCAAAACCAGTGATCTAAAAAAGGTTTGGAAGGATCTAAAACTATATTGAAGTATCAGCCGACAGAGACTTCAACAAAGGTACAGGAGAAGTTAGGTAACGGGTTCGAAACCAAAATAGTCAACAGGGAGGAGGAAATCAGTCAAGACAGTAGCAGAAGAGAGGTAGAGAATTTGAGTTCAAAGAGTCAAGAAAATACAGGAAAGACAGAAAAAAAAAAAAAAAAAAAAAAAGGAAAGGAAAGGAAAGGAAGGGAAGAAAGGAAAGAAAACAAACAAACACGGAGAGCAGAACAACAGATAGTAGGAACGAGCTAGACAAGACAGAGTAAAACGGAGGTGGGGAGTTTACGTCCCGCAAATCAAAATGAATCAAAGTAGGGAGACAAAGAAGAAAGAAGGTTACAACAGAAGTGATACCAATAGTGGAACGATCCGGAGAAAGACACAACATAGAATTGTCCACCAAACACAAGGAAGGGCAAAATGCCCGTCAGAACCAGCAAACATGAAGGATAGGAAAATATTAAAAGCTAGCCTAGCGAAAAATTCTAAACCCACTGAGTGAAGCAGCATACCCAATAAAGCCAACAGTCATTCATTCGTGAAAAAAAAATTCTCAAACAATTGTCGAAGTATACGTCCGAAAAATCCCTTGCTTGCAGTTCCATTTTCAAAGTGAACAAAAAACAAGCGTCTGCCCCCAGCATCGTTGACAAAGCCTTGGCTCGGTGAAGGCATGCAGTAATAACAAACATTTTTTGTAGCTTGTCCGAATAGGAGGTAAAGTCTTGCAGATTCTGAAAGAGGATCTCCCTAAGAGTAATACAACATTCGTTCTTGTGCATTGCAGCATAGAGTACATGATAGGGTTGGTGAAACACTTTCAAAACACATCCCAAGAAGTCTCAGGTATTGCTGCAACTTGTCCGTTCAAGAACCAAATTATCATCGTAGCAGGTTTGGAACCGTTTTAACCTATTAATAGCAGTAATTCTACTGTAATTGGATCCCTTGGAGGAACTTGGAAAAAACTGAGATGTCATTAACCAACCTCATCCCAAAGAGAAAACGTCGCTCCCTTCCTAAATGATTCAAAAATTAAAATTCATTAAACACACAAAGGAGACACGCTAGTACAGGGGTAGATGACTTAACCATAGGAATACCGACAATTTGTCTAAGTACGACACCAGTAGGCGAGTGTAACCAGTAGGGACAGTCTTTCGCTTCCCCAACAGGGCTTTTTTCCCTCTCTTTTTTACAAAAATATCATTGTATCTCCCCTCTTCGTAATAGCGACAAAGCCATTCGACAACTTTAATAATAAAGGAATGTGGAAGTGTTGTAAACATCTCTTTCACATCAAAGCAAGCAACAATCGCGTCTTCTCCAGGCAATACTTTCGTATTAAAATACTCCAACCTCAAAATCATATCATTGGGTCACCTTAGGTTAAAGTTGGAGCCGACAGGAAGAATCCACATTAGTTTATTAACAGCTTTGGATATGCTTTTGCTGACACGTACCAATGGATCAGAGTAAGAGGGGCAGATTGGTCTCCACTTGGCGATATCCTTGTGTTTGGGAATAGAATATGTGTTACCCAGACAACCCTGTGAATTGAAACTGACAATCTTCTTCACTCCTAATAGACTATACTCCTTCTTTACCTTTGAGATAACTTCCGACTCCGAACATTCGGTGTGTTCAAAACCTGAATTGTCCATAAACAGCATATTCATGCCCCTCTAGAAAACGACCGGACAACAGACACAAGTATCACCGATATTATGATCGATTGGACACAAAACTAATCCCTTCAACCGATGCTTAACTTCCAGAACTTCGGCCATCCCTTCCAACTGAACAATGTCACTATATCCTATACTACAGTTAAAACAGGAAAGTAAATCCCTACTTGACATTAAAAAGGCGCACTTACCTACCTAGACATTGTCCAATCCTTCGAAAATACAGTTTCTGAACAACTTAAGATTACGACAAAAGGCGGGGTACGGAATATTCTTATTGTTTCTCACCAGTCTTGGAATCCAGTGTTCTTCGTTGAATCTAAACGCCACATGCTCTCCTTGTCTCGGGAGTTCGGATTCTCGACAGATGCACTCAAATGACAATTGTTCCGCGACACTACAAAAATTATGCAAAAGATCACCAACGGACTTATTTCTTATTCATACGACCCTTAATTTCCTACATATAATCCGCTGCAGGGGAGAACGAATAGAGGACGATTTGATAGTTACCAAACACACATCTCGAATCCGTTTCCTCGAAAGTCCTGAGTCAAAAGGAATTATAACTGCTACTCTAATCCTAAGATTTACTAATAACTTGTTTCTGACAACACGAGTTATTTTCCCTCGCAGGGTCGATCGACTCTCTTTCTTTGAAAAACATCTCACGTAGTTATAGAATTGAAGAGGTCTGTCAAACAACTCCCGATACAGCCTCTTACACTTAGAAGGTAACTTCAACAACTCAGTAAGCTCCCCTTTAAGCTTCTCAAATCGTGAGCAATATCGTGAAATTTTAACAAAACACAGAGTAACCCCCGACATGAGTTTGGCCCTACAATGTTTGAACAATTCAGTATCACCCTCTGTCTTAACAACTGATGAGCCATAGCACCTACGTAACAATTTCCACCTATCAATTAAAACATTCTCGATAATACACTTCACGGATACGACCCCGATGTGCCTACAAAAACACTTGTCCAAGATTTCAAGAAGGCTAGAAGAAGTAAGCCTAGCGGACGATTCGAACACAAAAGGAGCATTACACAAAGGAGTAGAGCTCAAACAATCAGGAGTGCAAACACCCGTTCTGTGACTCCTACGTTCCCTTTTCCCAGGTCAGTGTTTCCACCGTTCTCTACGTCTCGCGTGGGTAATGACAGAATTGAGAAAAGGACTAAACCGTCTGATGAAATAGCTTTCAGTGTGCAGGAGTTGGTCGTTAGTCGAACACGCAATAGGAATCGCCACGTATCCTCCAATCAGACAGTGCCTTAACCACCTATACAGTCTGTGGTTCCTTACATTCGAGTTCAGCGGGGCAGTCACTCCGTCCACATGTTCCTTCGAACTATAGAGGATTGGTATGCTAGAACAACCAATATACATATGTTTACACCATAGAGACAGCAATACGTAAACCAGGGGGCCAGGGCATGAGATAAAGTCGTAACCATCATTAAAAAAATGTCGAAGAAATTAAATAAATTTACTACACCAAGGAATCCGCCGAAGGAAAATAAGCCAAATTACAACCAGTCGGAACGCATTATCAATCTTACCGTTCTTCAACAAAGCTTCATTCCGACGTGCAACCCTACATGCAAGAACTAAATCGAAGAGGTCACCGACGGTCGGTAGCAAACCTTAGCATCCACCGGAGACATCCTCTTCACCCTCTTCGCTTTGCTCAGCAAGATCATTCGAATTCTCGGAATCATCGATATCGAGGACATCATCCACTAAAATTTGCTTGCTCTCTCGTTTACCGTAGGCTCGTTCTGTGTAGATGCCCGCAATCTCCTCCGCTGACGACTTGATAGTGATGTAGGTGAGTCGTTCATCATCGCAAAAGTTCTCGATCTCCTGCTTTTTCATCTTGAAGAGTTCTCCGCAGACTCTTCTCCGAAAGTTCTTTCGATCCTCGTTAAGAAGTTTCTCAAATGCCACACGTACGCGCTCTTGTGCCTCTCCGGACTGTTTCGGGCTTGCTGCCTTACTCAATCTGCTCCTACGATTGGAAGGTGACCCACTTTTCCGTGCAATCCGCTTCCTCTTCACACTAGATGGAGTAGGAGAAGTCGCAACACTAACCCGCTTGATCCTTTCATTGAGAGCTTCGACCTCTCTTTCTGCCAAATCCTTATTATCACGAAGTTTGCGATATGCGTCAGACAACTTCACGTAATCGCCTGTCGTGGGAGTGTCGCCACATTGATTCGGCATCGCAGTCGTCGCAGCAGCCCCAGCTGTAGTATTCGTAGAATTCTTCATCAACGCCTTGACTTGTTCCTTCAAGCAAATGACATCTTCGATAAGATGTTCGTTGTCAGACCTTAGGACCTGCAGCTCCTGATTCGTGTCATTGACTCGGCAAACCTTCCGTTGCAAGTCGGCCATCGCATGCTTCAGCTGGAGAATCTCGTCATCCTTCTTCTTTATAACGTCGTTCGTCTGATCTTTTCTCGCATCACCATCATTTCTCCTTCGAATTGCCTCAGAGGTTAGGGGAATAAGAGACTCGCCGACATCAACTCTCCTACCCAGTACTTCCTCACAAACGAGTTTCATCTGATTGCCAACCATTTTTCCAATACTGACCTTGAAATCTTCTTTGTCATTTTCCTCCTTCTGCTTTTTTGCCACTTCATCCTGACTAGCCTCCTTCACTTTCTTAGCAGCCTCCGCTTTCTCTCTCTTGATACGTTCCTGCTCCTCAATATCTCCGGACATCCACGACCACATCTTCTCCACCTTATCATTCCTTTCTTTGTAATCAGGATTCCACGATTGCCGAGTGAAGCCACTTCAATATCCCCCACTGTTATAACGTCTACCTGATCCACCACTGTTGTTTTTGTTATAGGTTCCTCTAGAACCACAATTGTATCCTCAGTTTCCCTGACCATTACGAATATCCTGTGAAGGCTCCTGGTAAGGCACAATAGCACCAGGAAAAGGTAAGATCGACGCAAAACTCAACGTGGATGCTTGATTAGACCGGTTAAACACCTGTCGCTCCATGTCGCGCATTTGTGTGCAACATTCCCGAATGAAATGTCCCGGTCTACTACAATAATGGCAAACCCGTGGATCCATAAGCGAAAAAAAACAGGAAGAGGGAGGATAAATAGACAAAAGATGGGTATAATAATAACTGAAAGAAGCAAAAATGCAGAGGAAGCGAAAAGAATGAACACCGTAATCACATCCAGAAGTTTAAACAATAAAGGTAGTTAGGATTAGAGTAGAATAAATAGATAGATGGATGACTGTAAACACAATCGCAGTATTATTGCTACACTGGTTGGTGCATGAACTAATGTTGTAAACATCAGTGAGAGTGAGCAAACAAGTGTATAACACATGTTTCATTCACAAGAGCAACATACATAGAGCACACCACACGAGTAGACAGAGATAGAACCGAGCGTCGGTACCGCGTCAAATTGAAATAATGAAAAACACCGACGCGATCAGGAGAATGGACCCTACACCGTGTTTCAGTCGATCGCCTGTCCGACTTCATCAGGGGTCAGTCTCGTACCTAGCATGGGATGGGAAGAAAACACTAACGTGAGTCTTATATAGGTCTACGCTGCCTCAATCTCAAACAGACATGTCGGACTAACACATTCCAATGATCTACTCGAGGTAACTGAAAACAGTAGTCCCCAATAGACTAAAGAATCTAGGCCTACATAGACATCAGAACCAGTGATCCAAAAAAGGTCTGGAAGGATCTAAAAATATATTGAAGTATTGACCGACAAAGACTTCAACAAAGGTACAGGAGAGGTTAGGTAACGGGTTCGAAACCAAAATAGTCAACAGGGAGGAGGGAATCAGTCAGGACAGTAGCAGAAGAGAGGTAGGGAGTTCGAGTTCGGAGAGTCAAGAAAAGACAGGAAAAAAAAAAAAAAAAAAAAAAAAAAAAGGAAAAGGAAAGGAAGAAAGGAAAGAAAACAAACAACACGGAGAGCAAAACAACAGATAGTAGGAACGAGCCAGACAAGACAAAGTAGAACAGAGGTGGGAAGTTTGAGTCCCGCAGATAAAAGTGAATCAAAACAAGGAGACAAAGTAGAAAGCAGTTTACAGCAGAACGCAACCGATAGTGGAACGAGGTGGAGAAAGACATAATAGAGAATTGTCCACCAAACACATTGCCAAGGGAAAAGGAGTTAAAATCAAATATTAGGGAAGATAGAGGCCTTTGAAACATTGAAAAAATCTAATATAAAGCAACCAAATTTTCTCCCCTGTTGTGCCCGTATATAGCACGAAAGTGGTGAAACCTATTGTAGAAAATTTTGTGTTGAACTATTCATGTTCTCGGGGTCGTACCTTTTTCTTTTTTGTTCGTGTGTTGTACAATTATTGATTTTGAAATATAAATAACATTTTGAATTTTCATACCCAACGTTAAGATGGACAAGTTGATGCATTAAAAATAGTTCGTTTTTGTTTTTTATCCTTGCTGTATGGTAAAAAACTATGTTACCAATGGTCCGGAGATCGGACGTCTCCCCCGAAAGTCTCCCCAGACGTAAGGTACCCCCGGACTTTTTGGTACTAAAAAAAAAAAAAAAAAAAAAAAAAAAAAATGACAGTATTGCACATGCCATAGAGACCCCCACAAAAAAAAAAAAAAAAAAAAAAAAAAAAAAAAAAAAAAAAAAAAAAAAAAAAAAAAAAAAAAAGAAGAGAGAAAGAAAGGAGAAAAAAAAAAAAAAAAAAAAAAATGACAGTATTGCACATGCCATAGAGACCCCCCATAAAAAAATTCAGAATTTTCTGAGCATTTGGTGATAGGGTGCTATTTGGGGTGGGGAGGGGGGTATGAGGGATTTTGGTGGGGATAATCTGAGGAGGGGTATAGGTGGGGATTAGAATCTTTGAAGATTTTTATCTTTTTTTCTACTGGCTCAAATGAGCCAAAATTTTGGTGGCATACACCTTATGCAAGGTAGAAGTCACATAAGTTTTTTCAATTTTTTTTTTTTTTTTTTTTTGCGCTAGGTCGAACATCCCCTGTCCGGTCCGACGTCCGGTCGGACGTCCGGCCAGACGTCCGGTCGGACATCCCCGACGGTCAGGGGGTTCCTGGACGTCCAATAAAACAACCTAGGTAAAAAATAATTTATATGTTTAAAAATATTGCAAAATTATCGAAGTTTTTTTTTCAAAGACATAACGAATGTATGTAATCGATCTTATAGGATTATAGTGATCAACATTATTAAAGGGAAAAAAAAACAATGGGGATGCATCTTATACAACAATGGCGAACATCACTTAAATTTCAGTGCCCGCAGACGTTGCGATTACGAGAACCGACGAATCATTTTCATATGAATATGAGTCAAAAGTTAGATGTGAACTTCGTGAATGCAAGTTGTTTGGAGTTGTGGTAAGGCTCATAGAAATTGACGTATACAACGTGCGTATTTATGAAAGACAGGGACAACAAGGAGAAGGGGAGGATTTTGCACAATGTTATGAGACAATTGTGCAAGTCCACGAAAAAAAAAAAAAAACTTGTTGCATGAGGGCAGAAGACTTGGAGGTTGGTCAACTTTCACAATGGAGTTTGAAAGCATGTTTGTTCCACCTATCCCCGAATGTATGTTAGATGAATCACATGATGCGAGAATGAATATTCCCATCATCAATGCAATTAATAAAATATGTCGATAATGGTAGTGAAAATGTAAGAATCCTTACATGGACAATTGAGAAAATGAAAATAATATGTTAAGACATCGTGGTAGATCGATATCGAAAGACATGACGAATTGTATTGCAATTTGGATGTAAGATGAGTAGTGGATATCTATATATATGTGAAAATTGTTGTTGAATAAATGCAATAGTAGCCATAAATTTATGTGAATGGAAACTGACATATAAAAATGTTGCACTTTTCTATATCATTTGAAAAAAATTTTCTCACTGTATGAAACGAAAAGTGAAAAGGAAAAAATATATATATACCATGGCCACGCCGGACGTGAACCCGGATATTTCCGGACATGGAACCGGACCCGTGTACGGTAGTTTTCGTACGTCCGGAATTCCAGACATTTCCGAACCTCCGTACATGGGGGGATCCGGATGGTCCGGACGTTTGGACAGGTCCGGAAATGTCCGGAACATTAAAAAAAAAAAAAAAAAAAAAAATCTGAAAAAAAAAATGTTATGCAGAATAACAATGCAAACCACTTTTGCCTCAGAGTCATGTCAGAATTCCTAACCAAACTTAAGTTACAAGTCAAAAACTATAAAAAAACTTTAAAAAAGACTTTAAAAACTAATAAAAGGTAATGAATTATTTATAATTAAAAAATTCGGGTTGTCTAATAAATAACTATAGAAAGACAGCATGTCCGGACCCCCCAAAAAAGCATAAACGGGCCTGAAAAACCCCCAAAACAATTTTGGGGGCTTGGCTCCTCAATGGGGAAGGGTCCTCGACCGTTTTTTTTTTCCCCCCCTCAAATTTTGGCAGATCCGGACCTTCCAGACCGGACGTCTGGAGTCCGGACTGAATCCGGACCGTCTGGACGGCAGTCCGGACGTCCGGATCATAGCCATGATATATACAAATGTTGTTTTTGTAACCAGAGCGAAATTGAAAAAACGAAAAACTTGGATTTTTTATAGATTAACATTCCAAAATATATGAAAATTAGTGTAATTAGAATTGAAGTTGTCAAGAACTACAATGACTCTTATATAAACTCGCAAAAATTATATGGTTTGCACTGAAAAAAACACTGACACTCCCCGATAAAAGGTAGTTTTCTCTAAATTTCGAGAGAAAATAGAGGCTTATTGACATAAAAATTTAGAGGTATTCCCCAAACTTGAATCGTTGAAGATGTGCAAGGAATATGAGTGTGAACGATATACAGAAAACCAAGTTGCGAAATCATACAGATGCCCAAGTACTCGTGTACAAGCAAAGAGCACAATTGAACCGAGAATCCATCCAAATAGAGCAATACAATGGAGTAATGAGCCAATGTTCAGCCCTCAGGCCACACCAATAAAGTATCCAAACACACTCCTCTTTGTCTGGCGCCCAGCACGTAGCCTACTCTACTCGACTATCCTACCCACAGTTGTGTTCACGCAACAGGCTCACTTCGACTCTCAAAGACCAATGTACATGATGTCAACACCATAGCTGACCTCTCTTCATGCACCAGGTACGTATGTCGTCACCCTTATCAGACCTTGATAACCCACACACTCGCTTCCTTCCTGAAGACCACCAATTGCCCTCTTACCCCCTAGCGCCCAACAGCCCGGCTATGGCTGCTAGCGCCCCGCTACCCTGCAGCTCCCCACTTTACCTCAATGCGCCCTGCAAGCGCACTAGCCGCAACGCCGTATCCAATGCAGCAGCGCAGCACCGGGACTACATTGCCTGCGTGGGGCAAAATGTCTGGCCTGGGCTGCCTATCTTCCTATATGGAAGTGGCAGCCTCCTGAATGTTGCGTGTGGCCTGGCTGGAAGTTTCCAGCAACTTCATGTTGGGCCCTGGCTCCTGCCCCCAGCCCAAAGACTACAATTGAGGGTCTTGGCCCTTTACAGCTGGGCACGACCTGAGTCTCCGGACTTGGGCCTTTTGCTGCATTTGCATAAGACCCCGGGGTAGGTACGTCGAAAGTACTGCTTTTGTATAGGCCGGTGCCCACTCCATGATGTATCAGCTCTGCTTTATATGTGTGTGCCTAGGTGCAACTGCCAAGGCCTGGGCCAACTGCACAACTTAACTTAGTGAGCCTCACACGTCCATTCAACCAACTGGCGGGCTGCAACAACCTGAATACCCATCTATGAAAATGTCGAATTTTGGCCTCTGATGAATATTCAGGCCCGCCTTCACTTAGGGCGGGCACTCGGCTTGCTGGGGGCCTCTACCCAGAACATGTGTTTGCTTGATAAGGTCCTTGTGAGGGCTCGTTCCTCGCATTTCATCCCCCTTAGCTTCTAAAGTCCGTTGAGATGCTTCACGCTGGTGCCTTCCCCTTCAGTTTATTCTCATATTTGGCCACGATCTTAGGAGCTGTTTTGACAAGTTCTTCCCTCGTAAACCATCGATCTTCCTTAGGATCCATAGGATGCCTGAACCGTACTCTGTATTCTCTTGCAGGCTTAGGCGCTCTACCCCTGCCAGCTGGCTTGGGAATAGGCGTGTCTCTACGCTCCACGATATCGTCGATGTCTACGTGGCCATCGATGGTTTGGGGCAGCAATGCTGCAGCATAGATCTCCTTGATGGGAATTGTTCTGTCTCCGCGAAAGGAGCGAGCTTTGAGGCATGAAACACTGGCCTAGGTGAGTGCATAAGTGACCAGGGATATGGATAACGTACGGGGGACCATCCATCTCACTACCCACAACATCCAGGACTTCCCAGGGACCGAAGTACTGAGGCATTAGTTTCCTAGTTCACTAACCTTAACCCAGAAACTTCTCCTACCTGAAATGTGGACTGTCGTCGATGTTTGTTCTCAGAACCAATCATTGCTTCCTGAGACTTCTTGATGTTCTCGACAACTTGCTGCAACAGCTTCTCGTACTGGACAAAATCAATGGTTCCAGGAGCTGCAGCAGGTCGGTTTTCAAGAAGGAGGAAGTCTAGTGAAGATCTAGGCTTCCACCCCAGATGCAGCTGATTCGGGGTGACCCCGGTGGTGCTGTGTACAGTGTTGTTATATAGACTAGCGATGAGAGGCAATTTCTCATCCAGTCATCCTGGTTGGGCTTGATATAATGCCTAAGCAGATGCTGCACCACCCGGTTCATCTGTTCAGCCTGCCCATTTGCTTCGGGATGATTCCCAAAAGTCATTTGGAGCTAGCTGCCCATCTGTTCAGCGGCCTTCTTCCACATCTCGCTTGTGAAACACACATCTTTATCACTAACGATTGTCTTCGGTACTCCAAAGTCATGCACCCAGTTATCCATGAATAACTCCATTATGTGTTTAGCTCTGACAGTCTCCGGCACGACAATTAGCCTAGCAAACTTAGTGAACCTATCAACTATGATAAAGATATGTCTCTTGCCATTCTTGCTGGTCATGAGGGTATCCATGAAGTCTGGAGATACTCTGTCCCGGACCAGCATTGATGGGTGGAGGCTTTAGTAACCCAAGTGGAGCTTGAGTACGCGGTTTGTCCCGTTGACAGACCTGACAAGTCTGTACGTACTTCCTGACAGCGTCCAGCATGTTACACCACCAGAATTGTTGTACTAAATTAGCATTAGTCATCTTTTAGCCGAAATGTCCCGTTGTGTCGTCGCACTCACCTAAAAATAAACTACGCAAAATCTCTCTAGATGGAACAACTAACCTTTTAAGCCCTGCCTTCTCAAGGAAGAGTAAGCCATCCACCATCACAAACTCGTCAGTGGTGGCTTGTCATTGACCTCTAGTTTGTTGACGATGTCCATCGTGATAGAGTCTCCCTTGTAGGTTTCCCCCAAGGATCGAGTAACATTCTCAGAAAGACAAACTTAGAAATCAGCACATCTAGGTAATCTGCTCTCCGAGACAATGTATCCGCAACCTTGTTGTACTCTCCTTTTACATATTCTACTTTGAAATCATACTGATCTACGACTTCAATCCAGCCTTTAAGTGCATCGGAGAGAACCGGTTGCGTCTTGATCCACTTGAGGGTCTGATGATCAGTTCTCAAATAGTAGTACCTTTCCAACAGATAGTCCCTCTAGTGGACAAGTGCCTTGTAGAGGGCATAGAGTCCCCTCTCGTAGGTGGACTTTGTCAACTTCTTTGATGGCATCTTTTTGCTCATATACTTTACCGGTCTCAACTTTTTCCTTTCGTGCTTATCCAGCGTTACGCCAATGTCGTATTAGCTTGCTTCAGTGGTTACAATAAATGACCTTTGCGGGTCGGGTACCACAAGAACCTCATGGTGTGTGAGTGCATGCTTCAAACGTTTGAAAGCTGCCTCACACTCGTCGATACATTCCCATGGTGTATCAAGTCCAGTTAGATCAGTCAAGGGAGATGTGATCGTGCTATAGTTCTTGACGAAGTTGCGGTAATAACCACACATTCCCAAGAATGATCTGATCTCAGTCACAAACTGGGGCCGTACCCAGTCACGTATGCTAGCCACCTTCGCATCTTCAGGCCTAATCCCATCTGCGAAGATTTCATGACCTAAGTACAAGATTCGAGTGCGACCGAACTCGCATTTTTCTGAGTTTATCTTATACTTGTGTTGTCGAAGTAGTGAAAGTATCTTGTCTACATGTTGAGGATGCTCCTCGACAGTCTTACCAAAGATAAGTATATCATCGAGGTACACAACGACGAACTTATCTAAGCAATCATGGAAAATCCTATTCATGGCGCGCTGGAATGTACCCGGCGCATTGCAAAGGCCGAAGGGCATCACCACAAACTCATATAGACAGTACCTAGTCTTGAATGCGGTTTTGTGCTGATCCTCTAGTCTTATAACAATTTAATGGTAGCCGAATTTTAAGTCTATCTTAGTATAGTACTTACATCCTTGCACCCTATCCAATAGGTCGTCGATGCATGGTAGAGGTTTTGCGTTCTTAACAGTGATGGCATTGAGGCCTCTATAATCAATGCACATCCTTAGTGTTTCCCTTTTCTTTGGGATAAATAATATTGGTGAGCCAAAGGGGGAGATGCTAGGCCGTATCCATCCCTTCTCTGCGAGTTTTTTCAGTTGTCACCGAATCTCGTCCGACTCGGTCGGAGCCATCCTATAGATTCTTCCTTTAGGTGTCTTGTTACTTGGGATGATCTCCATGGCATGAACGACCTCCCTGTCTACGACTCTTGTAGGCTCCTCAAACAGATCAGGGTACTTAGCGACAATATTCTCTATCTTTGGGGGTGTTTAAACGGCCTCCCTTTTCGCAAAGACATAAACTCAGTACAAACCTTCCTCTTGGTTCTATTTATAATAATTAACCTGCTGGCTTTGTACTTAGTCAGTCTAACAATTTTCCCATTAGGCAACTCCTACTTTAACACCTTCTTGTCTTAGTCAAACTGGGGTTTGGCAACCTTAAGGTAGTACATTCCTAACAACATATCAAAAGGCAAATCGTCGCTCACCAGGAACAAAATTCTATGATTAAGTTCTCCTTCTAGATAGGAAAAAGTACAAACCACGTCCTTAACGTAGTCCTCTACCATCATGCGTTCTTTGTTGGTCAAAGTAGATACTACCGGTCTACTAAGGCGTTGTACCCGGTCCTTTAGGCACAATCTCTCAACGCAGTTTCGACTATGAAGTTTCGTGTGGAGCCGATGTCTACGAAGGCACCACACTTGCGGCCACCCACACCGACTTTCATAACGAAATTCTCCCCTCTAGGACGTTGACTTAGTGCCACCCAGGACTCATGAGGGTCCCTTGCCGACCACCCACTATGAAGGTCCGCTAAGGCTTCAGACACATCCAACGTACAGAGTATAGTTGGGTCTGAATGCGTCTGCGGGGTGACTAAGTAGTCAATAGGTTCGGCCAACTCTAGAAACGGGTAGGGTACATCACCTGCTTCAACGAGAGTAGAAGCAGCTATAACTTCTACTTAGGTGTTTCCCGAGTTGGAGCTCGTAGAGGCCCCAGACTGAGAAGAAGGATACTCACTCTTAGGATGGATCTTCTGCGCGACCTTAGCGTTCTTACATTTGAACTGTTGATGGCCATATTCGCCGCAGTTTATGCAAGCCCCTCTCTGCCAACGGTCCTACCACACATCTTGATCCAAACCGGCTCTAACCCAAACAACTATTTTATATGGGTTGGCGGTTTGCCCCTCACTCCTCTATTGTCCGCCTTTGTCGCGACCACCTGCCTTAGTTTTGACTACTGTGGCGAGGTTGCTACCCTCAACACTATCCTCACCGTCTAACTCTGAACTCTCCACAAGGTCAGAAACATCATTGATCTCAATTTGATTCCGTTCGGAATCAACCATCATCGATCGACTACCCTTTTTCTTCCATTCTTGCGGAGCCTTCTTCTTTCTCCCGTCTGTAGGGGGGTTTTGAGCGCCACCCAGCATAGCCTCTAAATCTAAGGCCTTCTTGCTGAATGTCTCAAAAGTGTGGTACTCAAGCCAAGCCTCGCTGGCCAATAAGTTATTGATAACATCTTATTCGTTAAAATATGACATTATATTGTGTCGTCTTTCTAAGGAATTATTTTTGGATGCAGCCTAAGCAACGTAGGCACATCCATCCATTCGCCTCAAATGCGGAAGTGTGTCGAGATCCATACTTGTTAAACTTTATAAGCAAGGTGTTATGATTGAATCCTCATTGAGTCATTGAATAATATAATTTTTTAGGTTAGCCCTAAGTTGTACAAACATGTCCATCCTCTCGTCTGAGACGGTTGTTTGGATGTTTGATGAGATCCGAACTTCTTTAGAAGACTTAGTGTAATGATAGGCACGCCCATACGGGAACCCTGTGTGGAAGTGTGCTGAGATCCACACTTGTTAAACTTGAAGTTTATAAATGTCATGAGCAAGGTGTCATGATTGCATCCTTGTTGGATAATACATTTCTTTTGGTTATCCCTAAGTTGTGCAGGAATGCCCATCATCTCGCCTGAGACGGTTGACAATGTTTGGATGTTGACGAGATCCAGACTTCTTTAGAATACTTAGTGTTACATTAATGATAAGCACACCCATCATCTCGCCCTATATGCGGAAGTGTGTTGAGATCCATACTTGTTTATAATTGTGATGAGCAAGGTTGTTGGACATGTTTGCTTTGAACAATATGTCACTGTAAACTTGTTGGATATATTATAATGTACTTTGTGTTATCATCAACTTTAAGTACTGTAACAGTTAGAGTAGTAGTCGGAGTGCAACTCATAGATCTTCACCGTTCATCTTGTAACAACCAATTAATTTTGTCATACATGTTTGTTTTCTGCGACAACACTTGTCATATTACTCAATAACTTAAAAGTTTACTTATTTCCGATCGATTCCGCACAGTAATTGGTCATGCACAAAAGGTTTGAGTATGAATGCAAAGTTGTTTGTTGCATGTAATGAAGGCGTCCACAAGCAAGCACATGATTCATATGTACACTTTTGGTTGACTTGAACAAAATTTGAAATATGGAACGCAATGCGTACTTGTTCCTCCGCATGAAAAACGACTGGAACGTGATAAAAATTACAAAGTTTACACATGACGTCAGACTGACAGTAAGAATGTCAAAGACAACTCAAACTCGTAACGACAAAAAAGAACAATGTCTTTGTCAAAACGACAGTCAGATAATGTCATGATTTACAAAACATAATCATTAATGAATGAAATACTTCCAATCCATCAAAGACAACGACGTTCTAAGATACATGATGTCAATTGTCGTCTAATAAGTGGGACATCTTTAGAAGAGAATCTGAAAGGTGGTCGGTCACCACGTTGCAACATCGTCGGAAACATCAACATGAACACCCCGCAACTAACTCCATCTAATTGTCTTGGAACTCCTTCCACCACAACATTCGTCGCTATCGACTTCAAACTCCTAATCGACTGCCTATGTAATATTCGACGTTCCAAATACTGTACAATCAACTCGAAAACACTAAGGTAAAATCTCGAATCAGCTAGAACGTGAGAAAAAAAATGAAAAATTTCGAGGACATTATCTCTCCAGTTGACGGAAAGGAGGATCCAGTGATCATTATCGTTGTGTATAGGAACAAAGAGAATATCGTATTGAAGCAAATCTACGTTTTTAGCTCACCTTTCCACCGCACGGTGTCCTTGAAGTTGCAATTTAGTGAAGAAAAACGTATTAAAGCTGAAGATTTGAAGGTCTGACGAGATGTCACGTGTCACACATGCGGTCGACCCCAATAGCGCCATGTAAAAATTAACCACCTCATCATTCACCCTGCCGTCGATATGCAAGAGGGTGAGAAAATTTTTTGCTCCAATTCCCAATTAACCATCGCCGAAGGTAGAGAGGTCAGTGTGAGGTGGCACCGAGCCTCGTTTAATGTCGTTTAAAATCCTCAAGCTTCGAGGCGCAGTCGGTGCAACAAATCTTTTTCCGTGTGTTCCACGTGTTGTGGTACACACTGCACAACATCAAGCAAAGGACATGTGGGGCAGTGAGAAACGGAGTTCTAAGCATTGTCCTCCATTGCACGGCGTGTTGCTAAGTATTTCTCATACATGGTCTGACCCCTACTCACAGATCTTGGATATGTCCCTTTCTCCAGGCCCAGAAGGGAAAATTATTCCTCAATGGTAATGACATGCTCTTTTTTCCCGACCTCGATATCAACCCTTGATGCCTTTAACATATTCTTGTGTTTTGTCATCAACCCGGGGACTTACTGCAATATGTATTCCGGATATTTTAAGGACCTCCGCGTTCGAGATGACCCCACCCCTGTACAACAAAAGAAAGACAGAATGAAAAATGAATACACATTTTTCAACACGAATCCAACGAAAGTGATAATGTGAGAACCACATAATAATCGTAAAGACGTTGGACCTCTCCAATTACAAAACCCTGATTTTGCATGGCCATGAGCACCGAGGTGCGTGTGTGTGGCTGAAAAACAAAACGACTAGCGCATTCGAACTGGACACTCAAACCCTTCACAAAGGAAAACCACCACAAGTCACAGAACCGGAAGGCCAACATTCCCCGAAGTTCGGATTTCGGCGGACTTTTTCTCACAACAGGTCCACAGAGACTAACCACATTACGCATCGACATTGGAAATGCGGATCCCGACGGACTTAAACCACCATTCTTTCCGAGAAGAAAAAACCGTCATTCCATTTAGTTGGCCATGTTCTTAGCCGGGGAGGCTTTTGTGAGGGAATGCTTCAATAAAAACACACTTCATAGAAGGATAGATCCTTCCTTAGATGGACTGTTATGTTTTTGTTGAAGTTTTCCCTGCCTGCGACCAACAACCTTGCTAAATGACAGAAAGTTCGATGAAATGTAGTTCGAAGGACTGGTGGCTGTAGTATGTCGGCATCCGGAACTTCCCCGTATCGGCAAAAAGTGTGGACGGTCCTCGTCTATATGGCGCGGACTGTAGTACGCCGACATCCGGATAATGAAGGAAGCCTCACTCTTGCTCTCAGAAGTCGGGGCACGCAGACAGTGTGGTGTTCTTCACAACTTACCAGTTGGTTTGTCTCTCCGCTCCTTCATCGGTGAAGTTGGCGCAGGCAAAGCAAGCACGTCGAGAGCTTGAGAGCCGACCCTAGATTCTTTAGGGGACGTGACATGTTGTCGTCCTCTGACCTCGCCTTACCCTTCGCTGACGAGGGTGGCCGGCCGTACCGGAGAATTCGGCGACGAGAAAGCGAGGACAACCACCACGGAGGGTTTGGCGTTGCAAGTGTCGTCGACGTCAGGCGTTGTGGACGGATGAGCGGACACGTGCTGGTCGCCGACAATACCGTCGATAACTTCTTCAATGCTTATACAACGACTTGCTTTAGATGGGCTCATAGCAATGGAAGCCTCGTCGAACCGGTGTTGCAGATCGGCGACAGACGTCAGTGGTTGGACCTCGTAATCTCCAGGTTATGCGGAAAGGCTGCTAACCACTTGTGTCTCCATCTCCATTGCCGTGACATCGTCGTCGACATCATCCTCGCGATGCTCTCCGTACAGTTGTCCGAACTCGCCAGACGACTCTCCAGATCCGGCATCGTCCTCATTGTCTTCCCCTTCGTCGTCTCCAATACCCACGTCCCCTTTGGCACTATTTTTTTCTTCAAGCAAGTCAATCAGCTTCGTTTCTCCTCCTTCCTCTCCTTTCTCCCCTTCTTTCCCTTCTTCCCCTTCCTTCCCGTCCTCCATTTCCTCCCCTCCTTCCCTTCCATGCAATTCAACCCCTTCTCCAGAACCCGTGTTGAATCTCGACGACCGCCCTTCTGTTTCCATGCATGCTTCCCCTCCCGACTGACCCCCCCCACCTAGAGAAGTTCGGATCTCGGCGAAGTTCGTCGTCTCCGTGTCGTCGCACCCTCCACTTGTAGCCTCTCACTCCAATCCCAGCAGTCGTCGCTCCCCCTCAGACGATGCATTCTCATCCCTCACCGCACCGCTGCCAATTGTGGGATCCTTGCTCGGCTCCCCCACCCCCGGCCAACTCTGCATGGAGGACCGCTGTGGTGGCACCTCAACCGACGTAGTTCGGATCCCGACGGACTTTAGCGTTCTGCCCGAACGGCTACCGGGAGCAACCAAGGCTGCCATCGTCTCCCTCGGTGAGCCGACGGACGAAGTCGGAAGGTCGATAGACTGCGTCGCATGCTCCGACCCGGGGCCAGTAGACGGATGCCGATCGATGGCCCAACCCACCACCCCACTGCTGCCTTCCGTTGTCGTGGTGTCGCCGTGAGACCCGCCCTCCCCACTATGCGGGACTCCGTTGACACCCCCCGCACTGCCACCCCCATCCCCTCCACCGCCTGGTGGGCCCCCCCCGGAACTCCCATGTGCCCGACTGGGAGGGGGCACTTTCCAGTCCACCATACCCTTCGACGGGCTCGTGTTGAGCTTGTAGTAGTCCTCAATCAGTTCCAACCAGCACTTGTCCTGAAGCTCGTCGAACAATCACCCAGCTGTAGAAACGACGGATAAGTTGTTGGGTGCAAATGTGTCATTTTTCGCCCTTACTTTTTGGAGGATCAAAATCCTCGCGAGGTGCAGGAAGTTGGACTTCGACTCGCGAGCGATGGACACCCATCCCGCGCCCGGGACTGCTACGGCCATGATCCACTCGCCCTTTTGTATCGTGGGCTGGATGACTCCTGGATGCCAAATCATGTCATGGCCCCAGTCCACCTCAGGTGAATGACTTCGCGGCTCAAGAAGGAAGTGAATGTTGTCATCCTTCCAAGACGGATGATCGGGCGGGATATCAGACCCGGGACGCAATGTGCGCGGGGGGATGGCCAGAGCTTTCAGTCTCTCCAACAACTTCATCGACATAGTGCCCGGCGCCGGTTTGGCCATCGGTGACACGAGGGATGTCGGGCTTGTTGACGGACCGACCGACAAGGACCCTCGGGCGTGCTCCGCCGGAGGTGGGTCATACCGCAGGTCGAGGCTCTCGGTGTCGCTCTCCTCCTCCTTCGCATTAGCGTAGAGCTCGACACCGGTGGGTGCCTCGTCGTCAGTGGAGATTAAGGAAGCGTAACTGCCGAACGTCAACTCCTCCTCGGACTCGACGAAGTACAGGGACTGTAACCTTTCGAGGAAGGTCTTCGCGTTCATGAGGGAGGTGCCATGGTAGTTGTCGAGCAACGCCAACATGTGGTCCCTGCGACGGACGTCTCGGCGTCATTGTCCTTCCTTGGTCGTGTTTGCAGGAATAAGAAGTCATATATCTTGTTCCTCTTCCTCTCGCTCAATTTGAACCTTATGTCCGTCTTGTTGCTCCACATGAGATCCCGTGTCGCCTTCACGACCATGAACTCGCAATTGTGGGGCCCCAAATTCACCTCGCTTTTGATTAGTTGCATCGTGAATTGCAACAGGTCGGAGTTACCTTCCATCGCGACAACGTGCCGACCTGCCTTTAGAAGTTCCCACACTCTTCGCTCGTGCGGCTTCCCAAGGAAGACGACACCCTCTCCCTTTTTGCTAACAAAATCAAGAAGAGCGACGAATTGTGCCGGATTGTGTTCCATGTCCCCATAGACACTGCCCTGTCGTTCAGGCGCGGCGTGCGACCAGTCCCTTCCGTCGTAGACGAGGGACGTGTTAACGAGCAGATCGTCACCCTTGAAGAGGATGTACATGAAGTCGTCTTCCGCATACAAATTGTTCCTCACGGGGAAGTTTTTATTTTGCTGATTCCTCTTCACCCACTTCCCTTCCAGCAGCGTCACGAAAGAAAGATGGTGCATGCTGGTAAAAAACGAGAGGTTGTGTTGCCCTGGCACGAAAACAACGAGAGTCCAATGCGACGGACACCACGTTTGAAGATAGGAATTCAAAGTCTCGAACGCTTGTGGTTTCCACAGCTTGAGGTCAACCGGCTCGCACAGATCGAGGACGAACGCGTGACTCTTAGTGGCAGTCACCGCTTCCTTCAGCTCTGCAATCCTGATGTCCGTCTCCAAAGGGTCGTTGCCGAACGACGCGATGGATGTCACTTCCCCCGTGTCTTTCTATTTTATGTGAACAATGTCTTCAGCAAGTGCGATCCCCCGGCTCTTCAGTCTTGTCCCAGTCAACACAGAGAGGACCTTGTTTCTCCAGTCGATGACCAACTTCCTGTGGCCCGCCAACTTTTTTCTCGCCTCGATCAAGTGGTCCTCCTCGCAACCCATGTACGATGGAGAATCCTTGAACAGCGCCGCGTCAGAAACGTATTTCCTGCTACCGTCCCACAAATCGCCATCCAATCCTCGACTTTCGAACTTTTTGAAGACGACAGACCTCGATTTTAGGAAAAAATAATTTTGGATCCAATCCGTGTTCGGCCTCTTCTCGTACTTGAATTAGCAGTAATTCCACAACCACACCAGCACGTGGTCGCACTTCACCAACTGCACCATGTCCTGCACACTGAGCTTTCCCAGCTTCGCCAACGAGGGGGAGCTGGCCTAGACCCAAACCACCTCGCAAGCAAGCACCTTCTTCAGAACTCGACACTTCTCATTGTCGGTGAGTGCTTCCATCACTTTCCAACAATGTGTGTCCGGCTTTGGCATTTGCACGAACCAATCGCCCTCCTCTTTCTCCTTTTTGCCTTTCTTGTTCGACGGCTCCACGATGACGTTGTAAACGACATCCTTTCTGCCCAACTTGTCGTTGTCGATGTAGGCGACCTTGGCTTGACGTTCCCGACCTTCTTTTTTCTAACAATTCATTTTGCTCCGTCGTGGCCGAGCAATCTACATATCTCCGTGAGAGTCTATTGCCAGCGGGAAATAAGAATGCAGGGCAGCGTTTTGCTTCTTGATGGCGTCCTCCCCCTTTTGATCCGTGAGAGTCCACAAGTTGTTGTACAACGTCTTGTGGAGCGCCATCGTACATAACTCACGCCATTTCCGGACCTGTTTTTGTTTCCCGCTAGGGTTCCCCATAACAACTCTAGGAAAATTGCCATGCTTCCACTGCCACCGGATGTCTTTCATGGACAGTTTTAACTATCTAGGAGGTGCCTTGAGGTCCTTCTTGTTGTCTTGGGAACTGACAGGGAAATACCCTTCAAAGTCGTCGTTCGAAAAGTACACCATACATGCCCGCCACCTCTTGAAATTGTACTTCTTGGCCACCTCGTTGTCGAGCAGTGACCTGGCGGCAACGCATTGTGCTGCCCACACACCACGTAGTAGTAGTATTGTCCCGCCAGCTCGTCCTTCCAATCCTCCGACTTCAAACGTGCGGCCTTGGCCTCGGGAGTTGGTTTTCGCAGCCCCAGCGGGGCGAGCTTTAGGGTCGGTAACTCGTACGACTGTTCTTTGCTGCCGTACGCCAACCACATCGCTTCTTTGATCCCCTCGACGAGGACCGGATCCAGGGACTGCTGGTTGTACAGATCCTCCCACTCCTTAAGGTTGACGGCCTGCGCTGGGCTAATCTCGAACTCCCGCTTTGTCCTGACGTCGTTTTTGTGCTCCAGGAAGTACCCGACGTCAACGTCGATGGGAGATCGTGGCGAGGAAGGTCCCGACGCAGGTTTTGTAACTCGTACGACTGTTCTTTGCTGCCGTACGCCAACCACATCGCTTCTTTGATCCCCTCGACGAGGACGGGATCCATGGACTGCTCGTTGTGCAGATCCTCCCACTCCTTGAGGTTGACGACCTGCGCGGGGCTAATCTCGAACTCCCGCTTTGTCCTGACGTCGTTTTTTTACTCCAGGAAGTACCCGACATCAACGTTGATGGGAGGTCGTGGCGAGGAAGGTCTTGACGCAGGTTGCTTCTGTTTCGAAGTCGGACGTTTGCTACCCGGGCGGTCTTGTTCCCCCCCCGTTCCTTTCCGTTTCTCCTCAACACTCTTCGGGGCCTTGGTCTTCTATTTCTTTGAAGAGCCGACCATGCCGTCTTGACGATCTCTCCTTCTCTTTTGTGGAGTACCCTGCGTTCCCTCTCCGCCCACGGTCTCGTTCTCCGTGTCATGGCCCTTGGCAGTCTCCAAGTCGACCTCCGAGTGGACTGCCGCCTTTCTGGGAGCTGCAATGACCTCCTCGCGAACTGGAGCGGCTTGCCGGACCCCAGGTATAGACAACACCGACTGGTCTCTTTGGCTCAACGACGAAGACATCGTTAGCGGTGTTGCCTCGTCTTCACTTTCGTCAAATCGACCGCAACGCTCCCCTCGTTGCAGCTGAGTAGCCGCACCTCAACCCAGATCCCCCCTTTCGGGCGCGGCCCCGCTGGATTCGCAACATCGCACAACTGCAAGAGCATTGATAGTTCCAGGTCGGGGCCGACATCACAGAGGACGTCGAGGCCGACGTCCTTCTCCTCCAGCAAGTTAAAAAAAATTCGAGCCAAAACAAACCCGCCCTGCCGAAAGAGTTCGTTGTAGAACGAGGTGTTCACAACACCTGCTCCAAACCGTTCGAACAAATCCATGTCTAACAGGGCCCTCTTGGAACTGGTTACCCTTCGCACCGTAAACAATGTTCATATAGAATCGTCAACGACTCCCTTTCGCGTCCTCTCACCGCAAGACGGCCCCAAGCACCCTACGCCGCTTGTTGGGGTCGACGAAGATGACAGGACCACGTGGCTGCTTAACCGGGTTGGATGCATCTCCATAGCACCAGTCGACCAACCATTTTGACCTAGTGTGCTCCAACCATGATTTCGAGGCCGTAGACGACCGTCTTCTGGAATCTTCTTCTGTTTCCCTCCTGGAGGTCCCGACATGCTCCCCCTCGCCCCTCGACGAAGACATCGTGTCTGCGGATGACAAAGCAAACGAATCAAGCCACCACGAGGTCAGGATCAGGCAAACCATAGTAGCAACAATACAATCACACTCAGACCACAACGCAAGCTGCAATGAAGCATAAAAAAAACGCTGGTGACGAACCTTGCAACGCACACGTCGGCCACATTACGTCGTTCCAAAAGCAAGAAGTCCGGATCACGGCGAACTTCGCACACGAAGCCGTTCAACACCCCCCGTCGAACAACAGGAGCAATCTTTGCGAAGGGAACACACGTCATGCGACTGGTCCTTGTGCGGGCCTTGACGCATATATCATTTTGACGGGTGTTGATGGCAGCGTGCGCATGGAACCTAAGTTCGCCGGGATCCGAACTTCAAACACTGCGGGATGGGCAGTGCGGCACATTAGAGTCACGAAGACGAAAATTCAAAATTACATTTGCAGAACACAGCACGGAATCCTCAGTTCTCGCGTTCTCACAAATGGATTTGGAGTTCTCTCTCGTTTTCTGCAAATGACGAATTTGTGGCGACAGCGACAACGAACCGCACGACCCTTGCCACACGACGCTTGATATCTCTGGAGATTCATAGCACCGTGTGTCATTCGCAGTTCGGATTCTGGTGAACTTCCAGTGGTCCACAATCCTAGGAAGCCTACCAAACTTGCCCCAGTTGCGATTGAGCATATCGAAAGATTGCCCGAACAACTGATAACCTGCGGGAACTGAAGGGGAATTCTGTGGATTGCGAAACTCTGCTCAAAACAGATCCAGATCCAACAAGAAGGCCCACCAAACTCGCCCCAGTTGCGATTAAGCATCTCGAAAGATTGCCTGAACAACTCATAACCTGCGGGAACTGGAGGGGAATTCTGTTTGTGGAGTGCGAAACTCTACTCAAAAAAGATCTAGACTCCAACAAGAAGGCCCACAAAACTCGCCCAGTTGCGGTTGACCATCTCGAAAGACTGCCCTAACAACTGATAACCTGCGGGAACTGGAGAGGAATTATGTTTGCGGAGTGCGAAACTCTGCTCAAAATAGATCCAGATCCAACAAAAAAGCCCACCAACCCGGATCTGCGAGGCTCGTTGAACTCTCGCGACGGGCACGTCGTGGCAATTGATCCCCATATCTGTTCAGGCAGCACAAAACTCTGCGCCGAACGAATCCAGCCTCTGGACCAAGGGTCCGTAAGAGTGTTTTTGGCAATCCGCAAAGATAATCACCGACTGTTTCACACTTCTTGTAGGTGGTCGGGCGACAAACACAGCGGGACCGAAGCCAGTCGGCACCCGGACGTCTGCTCCGTTAGTGCGACAAGAATTTGGGAAGTCCAGATTCCGGCGGACTTAGACTGTGGGCATGTCGAACGGGAATCACATGGCGGAGCTGTTCGAAGCTCGCGCCGCCCCGGCACTGGAACCGAAGTTGAAGTCCGCCGTCGTCAAAGTACACTGGCCAAGCAGTACACCGTCGTCGCCCGGACTTCACATACTCACCAGAGTCACC